AAGCTACAGTAACAGTTTGTTCTTTTCAGGAGTGTTTAACAGTTTAACATTAGAACTGGATGGTGATGATGATGATTACTTCTGGCAATGTTCCGTTCTTTTTTGAGTTGAGACCAAACTTCAATTATTTGAAAAGAGGAAATGGGGAGATTTATTTAAAGGAAAAGGAAGGATTTAGATTAGGTGGAATAGACATAATCTTTAGGCCATGGGTGGGATTCAAAATTTTTAACAACCGGTTCTGTGGGCATGGCTTAGGTGGTGGGTGTGGCTTGATGGTCATGTGACTGGGTGGACATGGCTTGGTGGTCATGTTATTGGCTGGGTGTGGCCAACTCAATATTGAGGCTCGCATCTCCTCACCTGGCCTCTCATGACTGCGGGGATGCTACAACAGTCGTAAGTGTGAAAAAGGGTCATAAGTCACTTTTTTCAGTGCCATTGTAATTTTAAATGGTCACTCCACACAAGCAAAGTACCAGCAAAAGGGTGGGGGGGACTCCAGAGATGTTCCTGAGACAGGAAGTCTAGTCCTACCAAGAATGTAATAAGGGTTAACAGAGAGGCAGTTTCTGTCAGCAACACCAGAATGTTTCCTTCCTGCCTTCCTTACAGGATTAGGCCAGTAATTTCTTCTAACAATCAGTTCTTTGAACTGCTTAGAATGTTGACAACCGGTTCTAGTGAATAGGTGCGAACTGGTAGAATCCCACTTCTGCTGTAGGGTCTATGTTGTTATTTCTGATAACCCTTACTGAACTTTTGCTATTTAACAGGGAGAGATGAGATTCTTATAGAAATTGGAGTGACGTTTATAGTAATTGGGGTGAGTTATGGAATGAGGATATGTTTGTTTATACTTTAAGAGGTAGTGATAAATAGTTAATGTTGATTATTCTTACTGGGGTTAAAGGAGGTTTCTTTTTTCTATTTTTATTTTTCTACACATCCCTTTTAAATTTTTAATGTATTTTTTATTCTGTAATTGTATAAGTTTTTTGTGCAAAACAAAAAGCTGAGTGACTTTGGACTAGTCGCTCTCTCTTAGCTCAACCCACTTCAGGGTTGTTGTGGAGAAAATGGAAGGAGAAAGGTGCATTCAGTATGTTCACCACCTTAAATTATTTATTAAATAATAATAAATGCAGAATGAAAATAATATTTAATAAAATTTATACATTAAATAACACAAATAATATAACCTTTAGTAAAATTTTCAGAAAAAGTATCCATTTTTTTAAAAAAAATCTGCCTTTAGCTCATCTGTTTTGGAGGAATCACATTGTGTTTGCTTGTTCACAACTTTATAGAGACTGCCTATTTTCATGGAGTATATTTCCAGACAAGTGCATTTTTGCCCAGTTTAAAAAGGCCCAGACATCTTTTTGTACCAACCTTTTGAGACAGGCCAGATCAAAAAACAGGCACAGCAGGGATTCATAAATGCTTTTCAGCATGGTAAGGCAGGATAACAGAATCTTGAAAGCCTGTCCTAGTTTCTCTCTGTTCCATCTTATAGTATACAAAATCAAGGTGGGATTGTTCTGAATTTCTTTCTCTCTCTCTCTCTCTCTTTTTTTTTTTCTTTCTCAAAACTGTGTGATCATTTATTCCTTTAATGGCTTGCTGCTTCCTTCTCTATTCCCAAGGTCAGCTCAACATTCCTAATACAATTGGTAAATATTTGATGGTTTCTTCCTAGTTCTTCCATCTTTTTTTTTCTTACCACTGTAAATCTGATAAAGAGGGGAAAAAATAGAATGGTTTCTTTTTGCCAGGAAGCTTTTTGGGAAGCATTGAAAGATAGAAAGGTTACTCACATTAAATTGGAAGGTTTTAGTCAAAGACTAGTGAAATAATTCTGGAGTCTGAAAGAATCGGTTTGAACTTAGAATGACACATTTTGCTCTTCATACTTCCAAGACTGGGAACCACAATATACTAAAATGTTTCAGCCTTTCTTTATTTAAAAAGCACTTTTTATTTTGATTTCTCTGCTTAGATTGCAAAAGGTTCCCAATTCTATTTTAAGGGTCAGTTTGTAACGCTTGTACTAGTGTCAGCTATAGGTAGTTCTTGATTTATGACTGCTCGCTTACCACCTTTTGAAGTTACAAACTTTCTTGAAAAGGGAACTAACTAAAATTCCTGACAGTTGATCCCCTCTAGCTGGTCACCTGATTGCACTTTGGATGCAATCATGCACTGCATACACTGCAATCATGTACTGTAATCATTCCTTTAGAATGATTTGGCCAAAAACTGGCAGTTACTTCCACTTTTCAACAGAACTGCCCATATCAATCATCACAATAATTGCCTAATGAACACTGCAAAAAAATGTAAAATTGAGTGATTACATCAGGGGTCCTCAGACTCTGGCCCATGGCCCAATGCTGGCTATGGCCTGTTTGGATTTGGGCCACATAAGTGGTGGGAAAGTGCAACACTGCATTTGTGAAAGCGGCATATGCACACAAAACCATTCCCTCCCCCTCCCCACCACTTGTCCAGCAATCTGGAAAGGTTGGGGATTGCTGGGTTATATGACCAACCCATTTCATGACCATTATGACTGACAACTCTTATGGGCAGGCTTCCATTATGGTCATAATTCAAGAAGTAGCTGTATTGAGTATAACTCTTTCTCCACATGAATGGGAATGGATTGCACAGTAGAACATCGGCAACATTATTGTGGTTGCACAGTAGTCACAATCATCCTGTTTTTCCAGAAAGCAGGGTCACTTTAAGAAATGTAGGAGGATGCAGTAATGAAACAATCACCTAAACACCCAGTCCCAGATTAATATCAATGGATTCTTACAAAATGAGATATGTGTTGAGAATGGCATATCCAGAGAATAGTGTAAGATTATCTAGGAGACTTATACTGGATACACTACACAATAAAATCCTTCACAGGAAAATGACCCGCATTGGCCTGGCCTAACACTGAACTACATTGGCAAATGGGTCAAAAATTCCATTATCCCAATCTGCAGTAGCCAGAGGTAGCTGACCTTCCAGGAAATCTCATTGGTTTGAAGTAAATCTAAGAAGCTCTCTCATGATCAGAATGACTGTTGTAGTTTGGCCCATCTTTAACACATAGCTCACTGCATCCTGAGTATTTCCTTACTGTTCCAGGTCCAGTGCACCTATATACATAATGACCCCAATTACCCCCTAAACCAGACCTGAAGGAAATCGTGTATGCTATTATGCTTCTGGCAAATTTAGTTAACTTCCTAAGAAACATCCAGGCTCCATGGTACATAATATAACCATTGTTGCACTAAATTGCTGAATATTTCTTACAGTGCAATTCTGGAATAAATTAGGAATTTTGCACTTAGAATAATGTTAAGTTACTCTTAATGTGAACAGCTTGACCATGAATTCCATGATTCCTTTCAATAATGCTTTAGAGTGGAGGAAAAACACTCTTCAGCATGAATGACTTTTTTCTTTTCCAATTCCAGATTTTTATAGTAACAGCAACACCTGCTGGAAAAAGTTGGAAAGATTAAAAAAAGGGGGTTGGAGGAAGCCCCCTGTTTCTGAAGAAAGATAGTAGAGAGAAACTCTCAAATACTGTGGCAAAAGCCACATCAGGACAAGAAGCAAGCAACAGCGATTATCTTTATACTGCTCTTTCTCTCAGCAATTCAGCATCTACAGAAGTCGATAAGGAGGATACTGTGGCCCCCTCCAAAGGCACATTGCCAAGACCTCATCGAATCTGGAATTAAACTCCACTTTTTGTCCCAAAGTGCTTTTTCAGGAGGCAACTGGACTTCGTTTTCCTTTTGAAGATGTTTCACTTCTCACCCAAAAAGCTTCTTCAGCTCTGACAGGATAGTGGGGAATGGAAGAACTATACTCTCTTCAACCACCACAAAGCAAACACTCAGCAGGAATATGGCAGTTGTAGTTTCAACTTGTAAAGGCATCAGTCAGATTTGAAAGAGGGGCCGTTGTCCAGAGAAGCTGCTTTTCATTTCTAGGACTTAATGCTAACCATTTGCTTGACCAATTTATTGGATCATCATTAGCAAGCATGCAAAAAAAAAAAAAAGACAGGGAAAAAATGTGCTATCACTCCTCTTCCTTTGCTTGAGTCTCTGCGAAACAGCCATTGTTGTACTCTACCCAGGCAGCAACCTCCTGGCATCCTTGTGGAATACCCTCCTCTGGCCATCTGGTAGGCAACCACATTTAAAAAACTCTGTAGAGATTCTCAGTCATCCAGGTCATGGTTGTCCCAAAAGTGCTTTTTCAGGAGGCAACTGGACTTTCTTGTTTTTTCTTTCATGATGAGAAGCGAAACATCTTCAAACAAAAACAAAAACAAATCAGTTGCCTCCTAAAAAAGCACCTTTGGGACACCACATTTTTAGTCCCTGGGAAGGCCATCAAGATCTGGCTCTTTACCCAGGCACTAGGATAGACTGATGGAAATCTGTGGATGGTATGGGAGCATCCTAGGAAGAAGACGACTAAGACGCTGGGGTTTTATTTATTTGATTTGTCAATCGCTTACAAAATAACAGGTATAAGTATAAACATGAGTAAGAATACAGAAAATAGGTACGATTAAATGGGGACAATAGGACAGGGATGGGAGGCACGATGGTGCACTTCTGCACCCCCCTTTTGGTTCCATTGCCCCTACTCAGCGGCTACCAGATGCGCGCTGTAAAAATCCAGGACTTTTAAATGGCACCAAGGATCTCTTGGTTATCATTTAATGGTCAACAGCAATTTTGCAGGAAACATTACTATAGGTGCCTCGCTTCCCTAGCGGAACCATTAAACGAGAGGTGGGAAGCTGATAAAATCACCAGCTTTAGAAAAGCTTCCGCTCTAATCTCCGGGGGGACCGCATAAGCGCAACAGACCGAGCGCCGGTCGTCAGGCAAGAAGCCTCGATGCCCGCAATGCGCATGCTCATCCCGAAACTGCCTTCACAGTTTCCGTAGCGGCACAGGAAAAACGGAAGGTGGAGTTTGTCTCTCTGCGGCCTCCGTACTTCGCCAGCAGACATGGCGGAATATTCTTGCGTTAAGAAAACAAAACTGGTTCTTAAGGGGGCGAAATCGAAAAGGTGAGTGTATTGTTCCTCAGGTTGGTGGGATGGCGGAAGAGATGGTGGATTTCCCCCTTTTTCTCCAGAAAGTGTGGTTGATATCTTCGCCTGGGAGGCGGTTTGTAGTGCTGGCTCTGAAATAATGACTAAATGCCTGTGAGCGTACACAGATGCTCTTCCCTCGCTTTTGAGAAAAAAAAATCTCATGCAGCTGGGATTCAGGGAGGCTGTGTCGTTTTCAAGAAATTTTAAAATCCGGTGTGTTTTTTAATTACAATTTTTAAACTGTAAAAAAATGCAATTAGAATTTTTTAAAAAGGATTTAATTACACATTTCGTATCCCTCAATTTAGAATAAGCATATTTTTATTTGATTTGTATAGTTGCCCATCTCACACAAGAGGCGTGCACAATAACCACCAGCACTACATATAACCCCAGGCGACTAATAATAATAATGATGATAATAACATAAAAAAACACAATTCCTTTCTCACCCATGACCCTGGGAAAACCTGGACCAAGTCTTCAACACCTTACAAAATGCATAATCTCTGGGTAGCATTTATGTAATAGATTGTATCTTTGCCCTGCTTACTTCTTGTAATAACTTGCTGGTCTTGTAAATAAAGAAGCATCTTATGCCGTTGTTAAATAGAAATGCTCACAGCATGAAATGTTGTCATGTGTATGTTGATATACATATTCTAAATCACAAAGAATTAAACTGGATTCTTCATTATTTTTTATTTCTGTGTGTGTCTTTGAGTCAATTCCTAGCAATGGCCTGGAAATAATCTCTGCAGTTTTCTGGGGGGGGAGGGGGGGTATGTTTTGGCAGTATTTATAAAAATGCAATTTGCATTATTGATAAACCTAAGCAGTGGTGTATTTTTAGGATGGTAACAGACTTGACTAAACCTAGGATATAAAGACCTCTGTGTAATGTATTGTATTGCTATTTTATGTATAGATTCAAAAGAGGGATATTTTTCAGGGGAGAATGAGTTGTAGTTTAAACAAAACACCAGCAGAAAGCAGGATAGGTTTATAATAAATAGCCTTTCTCTGTACATGTGAGATTTGGGAAACACTGATATTAAGCAAGAGCAGTTCAGAAAGAATTTGGGAAACTATGCATCCACATAAGAAATTTAGTTAATCAGTTCTAAATTTCAGCATTTTCTTTTGAAATGTGCTTGTTCTTCTGTTGAATGTTGCTGTCATTTAAGAAAGAAAGGTGCAGTAGTAAATTGGTTAGAATTATCGATTGAATGCAAATGTCCACTTTTCTTTCAGTAAGAAAAAAAATAAAGATAAAAAACGTAAAAGAGAAGAGGATGCAGAAGATCAGCTTGATATAGTTGGTAAGTGATTTTTTCCCATGGAAAATAAAAAAAAATACTCTATTGGAATTCTTAATTAGGGACTAAAGAAAGATTAATGTTTGAATAAACTTGAAATTCTGCCTGACTAGGACATACCTCCCAGTAAATATATAGTGTTTTTGTGGTTTAATAACAGAACATGAGCCTATTATACAACAATATTGATGGTTGGAGCCTGAACATAATGGAAATAGTCACATAATTGTGTCTATAATTTCCATATTTTATGATAACTTACTGAATATAACATTCATGGCATTTTATTGTGATCCTCAATACTTCAAGCTGTCTGGCTTATGAACTCAGATAAGTAGTCCAAAGCTAGCAATAGTAAATATGATCCTTCATGTTTATTCTTATTAGCTGTTGTAGCAAGATAAATTCTACATCTAAAGCTAAACACTTTATTATTAGATTGCAAAATGACAAACAAAGATAGATACAGGGAAATGTGGTCTGTATCTGGTGACCTCTCATATATTTGCAGTCTAAATCTGGTATCCCAAAAGAAGTTAATGTGTTTAATGATGACAATTTGAAAAACTGTTGATTAACAGCTCCGATTGGACATTAACTTTGATCTCTCCTTAAAATAAATTGTTACAAAGGAAAGCTGTTGCTTGATATTTCCAAAATCTTTCCTTAAGCGATTACAATCCCTTATATTTTAAGAAGTAAGGAGCAGCTCTTTTATTCTGTTGTTTTCTCTTATTTTAGAAGGCTGGTGGACGATAACCAATTTTGGTGAAATCACAGGAACTGTAGCAATAGAGATGGGTCTTGGAACTTATATCAGTGCTCTTGATAATGGCCTCTTTACTCTTGGAGCTCCACATAAAGGTTGGTATCACATCTATTTATGTCAACAGTAACAGTTTTTCTCAGTGATAGCAAATGTATGATAAATTAATCTTACAAACACAGCCAAAGCAGTGTCCAGATTGCTACCTGCATTTAATTATTAGTATGCCAGTTGCATCCAAAGAATACAGAACCAGTACAGACAGACCTTGACATTACCACAATTGGGGCTGGAATTTCCATCACTAAGCAATGAGGTCATGAAGTGCAATGTTATGTGCTACATTGCTTAGCAACAGCAATCCTGATGGTTCTTGTTGCCATCTTTAACTAAATTCCATTAGTCAAAACTCATCCTGATCTAAGCCATTTCTGGCTTGGTTTCTCCTAACCCTGAGCCATTGTTCTTCCAAGGTAAGGAAATGCCTTCCTGTCAATTCTCTGCAATTACCAAACCCAACCCCCCATCTCTTCCCATTTTGGCCACCCCACATCCTGCCTTTTTAGGTAGATGCCAAATCTGTGCTTAATTTTATATCTCTCGTGATGCAAAACCAGTTCTATCTGTAATAAATTATAGAGAGGTATAGGTAGTGAAAATATCAGGGGGGGAATAAACTCTGAATTTCCTTATGTCTTTAGAGCATTCTCGTCTTTTGTATCAGTAATTGTTAATTCTCCAACTCCCAACAACTATTAAACTATTTAAAGCCAAAGTTCTAGATTAAAGCTACATGGTGCTCAGTTATACATTTATAAGGGATTTAAAAGCAATTCAGTCATAGTTCTTGAAAATTCTACCACAAGTTCTGGCTGCAGCAAGTCTATTGGGGAACTTCCTTAGTCTACCTCATCTTATTAGGTTCACTTCCACTCAAAATAATAAATTATTGATGATTTGGCATACCACAGTCTCACTTTGACAGCACTACCTGCTTTGGGACTTAATAAAGCCCTGGCTGAACTGAAGAGAAGATTTGAGAATCCAGAGATCCAAAATGACACAGCCCATATTATGTCTCACTCCCTTTATAGCACAATTGCTTTTTCTCCCTGGACTGTCCCTTGATATTTAGTTAACGTGCTATGTGGTCTACATAGGAGACTATTTACTTTAGCCCAGATTGAGATGTTACCTATTAGGGCAACAATTGGTAGATATATGTCTCTCATTCGAAAGCCAAACTTTTCTTTTCAGACTTGGAGGTAGAATTTGTTTGAAATGAACTGTCATAGAATAGAATAGAATACTTTATTGGCCAAGTGTGATTGGACACACAAGGAATTTGTCTTGGTGTAAATACTCTCAGTATACATAAAGGAAAAGATACATTCATCAAGAGTCAAGAATCATAAGGTACAACACTTAATGATAGTCACAGGGTACAATAAGCAATCAAATCATCCTAGGAAACAGTCAATATAAATTGTAAGGATATAAGCGACAAAGTTATAGTCATACAATCACAAGTGGGAGGGGATGGGTGATAAGGAGTGATGGGAAGATTAATAGTAATAGTAGTGCAGATTTTGTAAATAGTTGGACAGTGTTGAGGAAATTATTTGTTTAGCAGAGTGATGGCTTTCGGGGGGGAAAACTGTTCTTGTGTCTAGTTGTTCTGGTGTGCAGTGCTCTATAGCATCGTTTTGAGGGAAGGAGTTGAAATAGTTTATGTCCAGGATGTGAGGGTTCTGTAAATATTTTCACAGCCCTCTTTTTGACTTGTGCAGTATACAGGTCCTCAATAGACGGGAGGTTGGTAGTAATTGTTTTTTCTGCAGTCCTAATTATCCTCTGAAGTCTGTATCTGACCTGTTGGGTTGCAGAACCAAACCAGACAGTTATAGAGGTGCAGATGATAGACTCAATAATTCCTGTGTAGAACTGTATCAGCAGCTCCTTGGGCAGTTTGAGCTTTCTGAGTTGGAGCAGAAAGAACATTCTTTGTTGTGCTTTTTTGATGATGTTTTTGATGTTGGGTGTCCATTTTAGGTCATGTGATATAGTAGAACCTAGAAATGTGAAGGTCTCTACTGTTGATACGGTGTTGTCTAGTATTGTAAGAGGTGGTAGTATGGGAGGGTTTCTCCTAAAGTCTACCACCATTTCTACGGTTTTGAGTGTGTTCATTTCCTGATTGTTCCAGTTACACCACAAGCCAAGTTATATAACCTGTCTGTATGTGGATTAGTCGTCTCAAATGAGACCAATCACTGTTGTGTCATCAGCAAACGTCAGTATTTTAACAGATGAATTGTTTCAGATGCAGTCATTGGTATATAGGGAGAAGAGAAGTGGAGAAACCACACAGCCTTGGGGTGCACCTGTGCTAATTGTACAGGTATCAGATGTGATTCTGCTTAGCTTCACCTACTGCTTTCTGTCTGTTAGGAAGCTTATGATCAACATAAAGTCATATAAAATATCATACCGTATCATCTGCCTGTTGAACACTGAATTGTGATCACACATTTTATTTCCAATTATTAACAGTTCTAATTGCCATTGCATCCAGAAGGCCATTCCCCTTTTCCTGGGTGGTCACTCTTCAGAAACCTCAAAGCTTTTTGACAAATTTTTATCAGTAGTTACAAACCAACTGTTCCTCCCTAATTTTATTTATTTATCCCACCTTTATTATTATAGATCTCAAGATGGTGAACATACCTAATTCTCCTCCTATTTTCCCCACAGCCACAACTTGTGAGGTGGATTGGGCTAAAAGAGAGTTACTGGCCCAAAGTCACCTAGCTGGCTTTCATGCCTAAGGTAGGACTGGAACTCACAAGTTTCCTGGTTTCTGTCCTAGTGCTTTAACCACAATACCACTGACTCTATAAATCACTCATTGTGACAAACATGCCTAATACTTTTTCCTCATCCTATTTTCCACACAACCACAAACTCTCCTAGTTTCTCGCTTGGTGCTTTAACTAGATCAGACTGAATTCCCCAGTTTGCAAATTGGTAACCATTGACTGTTTTAGATTGTTTTTTTGTTTTGTTTTTAAATTCCTTTTTATAATTAACTGTATTGCTAGTCTTTTTCTTGTTTTCAGTCTTAGATGGTAAATAAATTTTGATTGAGTTCTACAACTGTAATAAACATATCTATTTTTTAAAAAAAATAACAGATGAAGGACCTAGTCCTCCTGAACAATTCACTGCAGTCAAGCTGTCAGATACAAGGTAACTTTTCTCTTGGACTTTGAATTACTATAAGATTATCAAATTTAGATTGTACTATCTCTCCCCAGATGGCTTTTTGTAATCATAGTTTAGAAATAATATTTCCCTTTAAGAAATTGATATGTATCAATTTTATGTATGTACACAAGAATTACAGAATCGCTGCATGTATGCATTGAAAAAACACATGAAGGAGATCCTAAAGGTTAGGTTCACCGCTGACACATTTCGATTGTGCAGTTTCCGCACAGATGTAGGATGTATACATAGGGGTCACCCACATGAAAGGAAAAAAAGACTCTATGAACTAGAGCCCCTTCAGACTCTGCAATAGGTGGTTTGATATGTCTTCAGGGAAAGGTTAGACTACATAGCCTCTCTTCTAGCCACATTCCCATATGCTTTTGTACTATCTGGAGAAAACAGCAACACCTTTCCTCATACAGCTTGCATAAAAGAAACATACTTGTATTATTGTCTTATTTTGTATATTCTGTTTCTGCTAGAAATAGGAAAAATGGATTTAATAACTTAGAAAGGTCAATCTAAAAGCAAATCAGGTTGACCATTCTAAGTTCTTAAACCCAGTTCGGATTTGAGAAAACCCAGATTGAAATCCCTACTTAATCATAGTATCTATCTGCTGTCATTCCTTCCTAGCGGAAACTATTTCACTAAGTATTTTTCATGTTGACACAGTGAAAAGAAACAAATGCCACTCATTTAAACTCCCAAAGAAAATCAGGATATAGTCAATATTGTTAACAGTAACAGCAATAATTATATAATGCTACATTAATTGAATTCACCCATTGTGCTAGTCATGGCTTATTTTAATGCCTAGTTTAACAAACTATATGCCTAGTTCACTAAACTATACATTACTTAACTTTTTAAGCCATTACTTACAAACCACAATAAAAGATTTACACATCATGTTAGACCAAAGTCAAGCACATAGCATTGTGGTTAAATGTGGTATATGAACTGCACCATTTCTACTTCTCTGAAGTCCACTCTGAATTTTATAAGTACTTCCATATCCAGAAAAGCCTTTTTTTTTTTTTTCAAAATGTATATTGTGGCTATGAACAAGTTCAATTTCTCTCAATATGACAACTGAGATCCTAAGAACAAATTTTAAACTCCAGACATTCTACTTTTGAATCATATTGTTAGTACAAGTTTTCGATATGATTTTGTATTTTATGTTTTTTTTCTTTCTGGCCTATGACCATCCTACATAACAATATATCACTATACAATATTCTATTATCTTCAGGATACAGAAGTTATAAGTTCAGTATGGCTAACATAGCCCTGTTCTTACTGCCCTTAGTATGCTATCTTTCATCCTTTTAAATGTAAAACCTAATTTTTTGGGAATGTATGAAATTATGAAGAAAGGCAACATGTGAAAAGAAATGTCGTGTTTTTGATTTCTGGCCCTTCAATTGAAGAGATGATCCTTTATAACACAAGTTCATTGGTGACATTTGGATAGTGGGTTCATGCTCTTGGTTGCATAGTGAATGCCTTAGCCAGACATTTAGATGTTCTCTGGGTTTCTTTCTGAACTGCAAGTGTACTCTTAACACTCATCCATCCTTCTACAGCTATTCACAATTTTATTTAAAGAAATGTGTTTATTGTCTTCTCATTGGATCAGGTAGCATTCTAGAACATAATTTGAAAAAATATTAATTCCAGTATTAATCTGATTAATCCCCCAAATAATCTATCTTTCTTTCTTTCTTTCTTTCTTTCTTTCTTTCTTTCTTTCTTTCTTTCTTTCTTTCTTTCTTTCTTTCTTTCTTTCTTTCTTTCT